CGAGCAAGGTCAGGGTTCGAAACCAGCCGAGCAAGAGCGAGCCCGTCTCTCTATAAATAGAAAGAAATTAATTGGCAACTAATTATATATAGAAAAAATTAGCTAGCATGGGTGGCATGCCTGTAGTCCCAGCTACCTTGGGAAGCCTGAGGCAGGCAGGATTGCTTGAGCCCAGGAGTTTGAGGTTGCTGTGTGAGCTAGGCTGATGCATGGCACTCACTCTAGCCTGGGCACAAAGAAAGACTCTGTCTCAAAAAATAAATAAAGTGGATGAAACATGTTAAAGAATTATGCCTAAAAGTAGAAAAACACATTCAACACAGAAACAACGGCAGCAAAAGGAACAATTTCTCAGGCGAAAACATGTTGGAAGCCGTGGGGCGTGTGGGCTGTCCCGGGTATGGGCCAGACACCAGAAATCCCACAAAATACGAGGAGTAGCAGGGCATCAGCAAACTTCTTCTCCACTGAGCAGCTTTAAACATTTTATGCTCAAGGGATGTGTCAGGTCTCCGTGACACCTCATGTTGCCACTGCAGTGCATAAGCACACCACAACTTCATTCACCAAAACTTTCTTACAAAAACAAGTGCTAGCCTAGGATGGGTTTGAGAAACCCCGAGTCCCACCGTGCGATGTGAGTAGGAGGCATCCACAGCGAGCTCAGTGCAGGGCAACATCGCACACAGGTGGGGAAAGGGAGTGTCGGGCCACCGTGGCGGGCAGCATGGGGAGAGCAGATCAGGCCGTCCACAGCCACATGCGAGGGCCCTGAAGCATGTGGCCACAGGAGTGCAGGGGCTCAGAGAGGACTAAGCCAGGACACACACCCGGGCTGCGTCCCACAAGTCCCCAGCAGCAGCCTTCGGTGGCAGGCGGAGCTCCTAGTCTGGGCTTGCCTGGGGTCCCCTCCCGGCCCTGCCCACCCAGCCCCAGATCAAAACCAGGGAGAGCACACAGAAAGCTCCGTGGTGTGTGGTCTGTCACATCAGCCCTCTGGATGGTCAGGGCACATCCACACTGCCAGGCAACTCAGCCTGGAACCTGAAGTAGATCCCGTTAGCCAAACTTAGTGGGAATTCTGAACCTTCCCCCAGGCCCATCTGTGCACTTCCTTTGTAAGTCCACTGACTCTGTAGGTCAGTGTTAGCCCAGAACCCACCCTCGCTCTGACCGCTTCACCCTCCACCCTCGCCGGTGAGGTCTGACCTCGAGGGCCTGCCTTCAGCAGGAGCCCCGTGAGGTCACTTAGGCCAGAATCCCCCTCAATCCCTGAGATCCTCTCGTAATTTCCTCTCCACTGATCTTCTGCCACGCTGTCCGGATGGTCCGGAATAAAGGGCCGCATTCGGGCAGTAAGCAAGTACATGAATT